ATGATGGACTCTCTAGAGGGTCGTTTTGATTTCCAACTGTATCTATGTTAGATTTAATCAATAGTCTATCTTACCTCTTCTATGTTTTTCTATCTTTAATCTCTCTCTCTCTCTTTGTTTGTGTATGTGTGGAGGAGAGGAGGAGGGAGAAAGAGAGATGCATTATTACCATAATTAGGGTATGTCGCTTTTCTTTTTGCATGCTTACTTTGTAAAAGGGGTCCTCTTGAATCCTAAATGGGTGGTACGAATAATTACTACATCTTGCCAGCATACAATGACTTGAGCCATTGTGGACTGTCCATCATATCACTATTTTCTGATCAGCCTTACCTACAAATTTTGGGTTTAATTATAACTTTGGGACCATACCAACTGCCATTGCCTTTATTACGGCTTCAGCATTGCTCACCCTTTCCTTTTTGTAGTGAAGAAGGGATTAACATGAGAATGATCACATCTGTGTAAAGGTTTGAAGTAAACGGAAGGAAAGAGAGAGAAATAATTGATTAGCCATTATGTCCCCCGGAATTCTTGATTAATGAAGAAATGTTTGCAAATTTGACCTTTGATGAGGACAGAAAACGGTAGAAAAATTATTTGAATCAGCGACTTTATCCTTTTTGAGTTTGATTCGCATGATATGTACTGCTTTCATACTGGTAATTATCTTCACTTTATATTTTGAATTTGCTTTTCAGATCCATGCTTTTAATATTAATTAAGATTAGACATTGATGAATATCCAGATATTTAAACTCCAAAATCCAAATAATGAGGGCATATGTTCGGCCTGAAAAATTACTTTTCAAGAAAGTGAATTAGAATTGACTTTTTAAATAAAAAAAATAAAGAGTGTATCCTGTTTGGTACGAAAATTTGTCGTCCATAAAATTGAACTAAGGGTGTGTTTGGGACACATTCTTTTGAAAGAATGTATTATTGAATAGTAGATTGATGGAGAATGTGTGATTAAAAATGAAGGAGAAGTTATTGATGTTATGGAAAATATTATTTTATTGAAGAATGTGTGGTTAAAAATGAGTAGAAAAATGAGAATGAAAAAAAATAATGTGTACCAAACAGGGCCTAAATATCTTGATGCGAAAATTTGTCCTGTGTATAATTGAACTAAATATCTTGATACTTTTATGTAATTGACAGCCCCATGGAAAGCAAAGGAATGAAAACTGAAAAACAAAATGCATGAAATAGGGGGAGCATGGCCATATGGGATGCGAGACAAGAAAACGTGCAATGCACAATTTGATTGAGTACGACCAACGTTAAATTATCTACTACCATGATTAAAAAAAAATCTCAAAATGGACCTGTTCAACTTGGACTATGGTTTTGGCTATTATAAATTTTAATAATTTTATAATTAATTATTCATATCACTGACTAATTTTATATAAACAATGTCGGTCGATTTCGTTTGCTCTAATAACTACACTTGATCGATCCGCGATGTCTTGCGAAAGGAAAAAGGGTGGACACCTCGCTCAGGCCCCACTCCTCTGTAAGAACGGGTAAACAGTTCTTAAGAAGAGCAAAAAGTGAATATCAAATGAGTTAAGTAGAAATATCCATAGAATCGTTATTTACCTTGAATATGACCCACCTTCATTTATATCGATTTCAACATATGATAATGTGTCGATAAGGTAGTTTTTAAGCATACATGGGACATGTGTCCTAGGGTTGCAGTGATATCCTGTGAAAATTGTGGTAAAGATTTAAGCCATGTTTAGTGGGGATTGAAATTAGATTTTTAGTTGAATTTGATAAAAATTGATGAAATGTGCAATTGAAAAATTGTGAATCATATGAAACATGTGGTTAAAATTAATTATAAACTTTGGCTTAGATTAAAATCTAAATTTTAATTTCTACCAAATATGAATTAAATAAGTCGTACGAATCTTCTAATTGCGTAGACATTCACTCACTCGATGGTGGCCTCCCAGTCTCTATCTCAATGGGCTGCCCTACAATTGCAGTGGATGCATGAGTCGAGGTAATAAGGGCGTTCTCTTTTATCCACGTGCTTCTATGGCTCGGGGCCAAATTTACGATTGTTCGTTGATGCACACTTTAGGGTGTGTTTGAATCTAATTTTAAGGAGAATAGAAATTTTGGAATATTGATTGATGTGAGAATGTGTGGTGGAAAAGTAATGATTTTTTTTTTATTTGTGTGTAAAATTATTTTATTTGGAGAATGTGTGGTTGAAATGAAGAATGAAAATGAAAACGAGAAATTAACGGGTGTCAAACGGGGCTTAATGTCCATCTCGTGTTCAGCAACATCAATAATATCATTTTATTAAATTGAACACCTTACTAAGAAGTAACACAGAGATAAATAATTCACCAGTATGGAATTATTTCTAGGAAAGGCAAGTGCTTTGCATTTAAATTTCATAATTTGGTGTTGAACCTATTTGTTACGTATTTCTAGGGATGACAATTCAAACTGTTAAAATTGAAAATCGCGGTTAATCGAATCGAATGTGGCCAAAAAAATCGAACTGATGGTGTAATGGGGTAGTTATGGTTTTGATTTTAATGACCCGGTTCAGAGTGGAGTGGGGTGGGGTGGGTATGGTATTTAGCGACGATACCCCACCCTGAACCGATTACCCCGTTAAAAAAATTAATTGGGCAATTGGACCTTCTTTCCCAAAATTAATTGGGCAGTTTTGACAATTGAGCTTCCCCAAAATTCTGGCACAATTAACATTACTAGTAAGCCCTTAACTCAAAATAACCTATCTAACCCTACACGTTAAAATTCAAAAATGGAAATCAAACTTACAAAACACTCGTCCACTCAACCAATGAACCAAATCAGATCCGTCGTACTCTACTGCCTGTATTTCAGCTTCAAATTGTAGTAATCAGCAACGAAATCTACCATCTTATGAGCACACTCCCTGAGTTGTTCTGCGTCCATTGGCTTCAAACCATCTTCCCTATACAATTCAACAAAACTCAAATACATTATATTTGATTACATTTTCTTTATAATATTATTTAAATATTGATGCGTGGC